TTGCCAGTTTGGAAGTCTTCGGCAGTATACACCCCTTCAGCATTTGAAACCAGGGGCTTTTGGTTACAAGGCAAACTCATAGACCATTCAGCCACTGAAATTAGATCCGATGACTTATGAAAAGTACAGGAAAAAGAATAGCAACTTAGATAAACAGCTGGGTTTAATGGATATAGGGAATGACGAAGGGCGGATTCATCTGCGCCTACTAGTTCGATTTTAAGCACCGTCGTCAATAGTCTACAGCGATTGGTTTTGGGTAATCCTAGGACCCCAAACAAGCAATCTACTTCTCCCTATGTGGCTCGAATCATCTGTCAAACACCAGATTAACTGATTTCAGGCTTTTGTTTAACCATCTCTAATTCTTTTCCAACCTAATCCAATGTCAAGTAACATTGTTCGACGATGAATAAGTTGTCTTGGTATCCGTAACACCTATCTTAACCATCTCAGTGGAAATAGCTTCATAAATTCTTCGACTGACTTTCCTTTCTTGCCTAACACTACACCTAACCTCTTTATTACTTACCACACTATAAAAAATTAAGGCATGATATAGAACACAAACATCCATAGTCAAAGGCAACTTTCGATGGGCATGTTCCACAGTCATAAAGAAGAACAAATGAAAATGTTGAGCAGTAAATACACCCTTTGACCGATAGCTAGATATCACGTCTACTAAGCCAGAGATGACGTAAGTTGGTAAACTTCATACGAGCATTATTTTATTATCCATAATGAGGTTTCTTTAGTAATCAGTCTATCAGGGATTATTCTGCTTCCCAAATAAGTGAAGTGGCCAACACGCTGAACCACCTCACTCCATAATTCTGTGTAAATTCCGATATATATATATATATATATATAGAGAGAGAGAGAGAAGACGAAGACGCAGGTGATGGAGATGACCAACCAACAGCAACAATGACCATCACCAATCACCATCAACGGGAAAGATGTGACAGAGGTCACTTCCTTCACTTATCTCGACAGGAAGCATGGTTTCAACAGTACGCAGTTGGCACGGATGAAGATGTCAAAGTCAGCTGGAATCTGAAAGGCGAAATACGCCTTCATCAACATGAAATCAGTCTGGAAATCTTCTCCTTCACTCACCTAGCCAGCATAAATAACAAGATTCGGATTCTGTTAAACACAAATTTGAAGCCGGAAACTTGCATTGCGTGTCACGAAAAGGACTTTCGGCAGGCTAGCGCAGACTTTTATGAACAGCTGCCCTCTTTGCTGGCTCCATACTGAAAATTAAATGGCCTGTCGGCCTGGTGCCCGTCGAATGACATCGTACCATCGCCGGGCCATTGCTAGAGTGGAATTTGAATTGGAAACGATGAATGGATCGTTGATGCGAGGGTGACATTGAGGAGTGCGTACAAGTTGGAGGAGGAGATGAGAGATTATGGGGAATTATGGAACTAGCCAGGTGATGAGGTCAGCAGAGAATAGGAGAGAGTGGAGATGTATGTGTAGAAGCCACTCAGAACCCAAGGTAGTAAAAAGGAAATAATAATGTAATTTGTTGTAGTCACTTCGTATTTCCTGTGAATTGATTTATATTGGATTGAAACGATGTGTCGGAATTCTAAATTTACGTGAATGAAAGCTGTCAAAAGCGTCTAGGAACTGACTTCCTGTTTGTCACTATCATCTGGATAGATTACTCTTCTCTCACTTTGTTCGTTTTCAACTTGATATGTTGCTGTTGTATTAGAAATACATGTGCGGTAATCATGACTAGACTGACGCGAAAACATCATTATTAGGAATGTAGTCATTAAGACACAGTCCAAAAATGATTTCCTCACGTAAAAAGATATAATTGACAGCTAACAGAATTGTCATTTACATTCAATTATTGGTTTGTAGGGATTTGAATGATTCGTCACAAGATTTCATCATGGGCTGATATCGGTTAAACCTGCAGAGAGTACTGGACAGACGGCTGCTTTGTCAGCCTATTTTGGGACTCCTCATCGGTACACACCCACCCCATTGGCGTTCGAACCGACGGCCTTCTGGTTTCAAGGCTAGCGAGATCGTAGCACATTAAACCACTGTGACCCACCAATCCAATGGCCAGTCCAAAAAGTATGTGATTAATCCCCCAAAGTGGTTCCAATATCTTCAATAACCTTGAAAGCCGAAATCTGAACATCACTGGTTTTGTTCATGGGACGTCGCGGATGATGGGTTCCATCATGTAAGGTGTGGATTGCATGCTTGATGATGTCATTAGTAATCAGTAGAACTATATCATGATGGCTCAGTAGTCAAGGTGTGGGGAGAGCTGGCTGCTAGCCAAAGTTGGTAGACAGTAATTGACGTCAATGTTTATGTCCCCAATATTGGTGGTGAGAAAATGAGAACAAAGGCTTTGCGTTGGCGGATACAGTTAGCATATGGCTGATCTGACACAGCCACAAAGAGATGCAAGGTTAACTTTCTGTGAGAAACAACCAATCAAAAGACTGTATTTTCTACTAACAATAATCTACACTAATGTACATTAAAATCTATAAATATGTCTTGATTTTCCTTAATAAACGATCTGTTGCCTAACCCTTGTCTTCTGTTGTTACAATTTTAATGGAGTGGGTCATTCAACAGACCTTAGGCAGCAAGAAGATAGGAAGAGGCTGAGCTGCAAAGTTACTCTTAGAGATATGGACTCCCTGGGAGATTTACGTCTAATGTCACACAAAATAGAAAGTCTACAGTCGAAAATCAACAAGTTGGTAGAAGAGTCAGGAAGAGAGGACATGACATCAAGTCAACACAGAGAAGAGATACATGATAAAGAAACCCACTGATCGACAATAACAACAGGAAAAGTTTGAAGGTAGGTAGCACCATTTCAACTACAGACAGGCGGCATTGATGAGGATGTAGTCAGTAAAGCAAAACAGACCTTCGTTACTCTGTAATCAAAGTGAAGAGTAAGAGATAAGATTCGCATTTTCAACATTGATGCGAAATCAGAGAATCTATATGCTTCATAGACTTGACGCATCAACAAAAGCATTTCCAAAAGATCAAATAACATCATCAACAGCTCCCTTCATTCTCTCAACACTGAAAATCTGATGGTCTGCCAGAAAGAATAAGCAGAAAGTAACTATGATGAGCAACGAATCAACCAACGGCCTATCAGTCAAAAAATATTCCTAAGAAATGAAGATGGATTGGGCATACACTGAGAATACCTTTGAGTGATATCACGTGCCGGATAAACTGTTGGGTGGAGCTCAAATTGGAAACGATGACTTGAGCGTGGGTCTGAAGCTGACTTGGAGAAAGTCCTGTTGGGAGGAGGGAATGAGAGTTGCTGATGAGTAGTTCTGGAGCCAGCTACAAAAGACGAGAGAGAACACAAGGAACCACTCGGAACCTAAAAGAATAATAGTATTACAAGAACATACAATCAACAAGTTAGACCACGAGGATCATTAGAAAAGTGTTCATAGGAAGCTTATTATCATTTATAAAATATATTCCAGAATCGATTTCAGTTTCAAACCGATATCAGTCAGAGGACCATTGGAAATCAAGAAGACAATAGGATGTTTCGTCCCAGTTTGGTACTCTTCACTAGTGTGCACCTACAGTTTCATTAGTGACTGAACTCCGAGGCTGTCAACCATTCAGTCACTGTCTCAGACTCGAATAATCCGTAAATCAGTGGTGTAAAACTCAGTCAGCTCGTCACTACAGTAGTTCAAAGGCATCTGAATACATGCGAAAAATCGTCTGAAACCATACTCTCCGACCCCCAACACCCCTTCTATTCCCAACTCTCGCCTTGTATCTCATCAAGTAGAACCAGAAATCAGTATAAAATAATCTATGATAGTACAACCAAGTACAGGAACTCAACGATACCATATTTGGCCCATGTTCTAAACGACAGAGACAATGTTAAGCGTGAAACCTGTGACTTGCTCTGTTATTAACAACATAATTTCATACTCTTTTATTTCTCTCTTATTTTGTATTCTATAGTGAACTTCTTCTTAAACATATTTAGCTACCTAAATTATTAACACTGGCTTCCTTTTTTGTAATTCCATTATGGGTAAATTTTATTTTGATAAAGTCTCACAGTGTTATACAGTAATGTTTACTGATGACATTTCGAGCACAATTTATTGTTCATAATCATATCAAGGTAATCGTAATTGTACTTTACTGTATTCCTTCTTTTGTGTATCTACTGGTTCCGACTGTATTATCACTATGAGTATTACAAAACTGTCCTGTTATTAACCATCATATAATTATTAGTTTTGTGGTTGTTGTTGTGTTTTTCGTTTGTTCGGCTATATTAACTGACAATCTTGACTGTTAAAGCCATTATGACCATCTTAAAATTTTGTATTATGCAGGATTTCTCACAATACCACTACAAACACTGCATTGGATCTGACAATAAAAAACAAAACAACAACCCTGAAATGTTATTTTATGATTGTTTAGAGTTGTTTCAACCTAAATTAACTGATCATCTTGACGATAAACATTCTTAAGTATCATTTCATAACTTCTTGTATGACTACAGCTTTACTGTCACCATGCATAATCATATCATAGCTTCCACTTCCCAACACTGAGATATTATTTTATGTTGTTTATTTTCCTTTCTACTTCTTGGTATTTTTTTATTATTTTTGTTGTTGTCTTTATATTTATTTTTTGAAAATACTCCTTTTAAACGTTGGATAAAATTGGATGCAAATATTGTAGATATGTGCTGAAAATTCCACACTGTACCACTAGTACTGTTTCTGGAATAAAGCAAATTATTATTATTATTAAAAATTCTAACTTCTATTAATTCCCAGTCTACCATCACTCCTCAAGATAGCAGCCATCCAGTTCTCCTCGGTTTTGTACGATTTTCTAATTGATGTCATTCAGCGAAAAAAAAACAATTGGAATTATAAAACAAAATACCAATGTTTCCTTTTCTAAACTCTTACCTGTTTTTCACCATCTGTCAACCTTCCCAGTTGTTGTAAAATCGACTGACGTGTTGTAAAATGACAGCTTTTCATTCTGGTATTCTTTTTAGCTAATGACAGTAATTTGCTCTGATATAATTTATAATATCTTTGTATCAGTTGAATGTCTTCTTCTGTTAAATAACCTAGAGTCATCGGATGATAGCGATTAATACTACTTGTTACACTGTCTTGTAAATCATTATTATTAGTAGTTTTATCAGTAGTAGTATTGGTATTCTGTACATTTTTATATTCTTCAATACATAGTGTATTCCAGCTGAATGTAAATGAATCATTGAACAATGGATTATAATCATTATTCTCTTGTGAATTTAAACAAACTCTATTGACACTTGAATTGTTGTTCAATGGTCGTCTTATATGGATAAGATTATTTTTAAAATTTTGAAATTTATTCGATAGATAATTGGAATAATAAGCAGTATTATTTGATGATAAAGATGTGGATAATGTGTCTATAGAATTAGTGGTATTGTTATTGTAAGTAGTAGTAGTATTGGTATGACTACTGTTATGTACCACCTGAACAGTAGTAGAGTGATTTCTGCGAAAAAATCCATTCATACTCTCAGGACTGCTGTTTAAATACAATGGAGAATGACTTCTGTCATAGGTATCCTTGAAATAGAGGGGAAGAAAAGTTTGGAGGAGAAGATTAGAAACACAACATAGCAATATATAAATAGATTAGATAATAACTACCCTCTGGAATTCATTCAACCCTGTAGAAGCATCAAACATAAAGCTCCACAAATCTAATTAGCTTCTAAATATATGTTCCAAGTTTAGCAACTGACTGACATCACTTAGAGAACCCCAGAAAACCAGGAGGCACTAGACTGATGTTTTGTCCCACTTTGGGATTCTTCAACAGCAAGCACCCAACGGGATTGAAATACTCGCCTATGCCCCTGGCTAGTAGCTGAGGTAAAATCAGATCAAGAATTGATAGATGTTGGCTTCCATTGGCTGGACGGTTCAAGAGCTTGCCTTGTAACTGGAAGATCAATGGGTTCGAGCCCCGGTGAGTTTGTACTGGTGAACAGTCGCAGGCGAGAACGAAAAGATGCCAAGTGCTCCTAGGTCTTCAGTGTTTCTCTAAATGACACTAATTTGTAATCAAAATGGAATTAAATCAAATCCCCACAAGCGAACCCTCAAAAAGCGCAAATATATCTTTAGCGTTCAAGAGAGATCACCAAAGTCTGATCACTAAATAAATAATTCGAACAGCACTCAGTAGAATTTACTGTGCAGCTAAACTTGTTTTCATAGAGAAAATAAGACTTATGTTGTCCCATAAATCCTCACAACATTTAAATCAAGGCATCACATCCCACTGAATTTACCAATCTCTATATGTATGCGTTGTCGCACGTACATTGGCAGGACCCATCTATCTCTTCATGTCAGAGGTAAAGAACAAATCCCCAAGTAGCTGTTTGGACAAATAAGACCACTTGATTCAATTAATTCCAGAAGTAGACGTCCAACGCCATCTATTACAAAGCATACCATAAAGACAGATCAAAAAGTTGTTTCCTCTCTATTGCCTTTAAACCCATTTGTAGAAACAGATTGGGGGTCATTTACTTTAATTTGTAGAAACCTTAGCCATCAAAAGACTTGAACCTACTTTATGCGTTTAGAAATTATTTGCTATCACTTTGATCCCGCCTTCGTAATCGAATTTTAGAACCAACGTCCAACCAAGATATGACCTCTAATGCTCTTGTGGGTATTTAGGATGTTTACAAGCTTCTCATTCGCAAATTTCCTAGTAAACTTGAGGAAAGGCCTGATTGTGGGTGACAACGTGTTCCGATACATGAGATAACTGTTCTTCACTTATGTCCTTCCGTCTCAAAATGTACTTCTGAAACATCTCACAATTAGCTTTCAACTAGATGTCGTGGATTTCTTTAAGGAAGGAGACAAAGCAGATATATCATCATTATGGAATAGTTTGGGCTTCATCAGCTCGGAGACCATTGTGTCAGGCACAGGATATACTCTCAATTTTAGGATTTTGAAGATACTGTACGAAAGGAAAATGTCATGTAATAAACTTTGAAAATTCTGTATGTTTTATAATTATTGTCCTGAATAAAGATATTATTATTGAATACGTTCCAAATGCATTGCTTCTTCTTATTGTTTTGTCGAAATTCATGAAGGGAACTAATTGCTTGAAATGTATACACCTTTGTCGATAATTATTTTTACTAAATACTGAAAAGAAATCGTGAAGTATACCTTTCTTGTTATTCTGTACATAATAATCAAGTCAGACGTTTGATATTCAAGTATTGGTTTGTAGGTATTTGATTGACTGGTTACAGGATTTCATCATGAGCTGATATCGGTTAGAGAATCATCGGAAAACCATCTGGGAGTTAGTCAACTGTTTCGTTAGCCTATTTTGGGACTCTTCAGCAGTACGCACCCAACCCACTGCCAGGGCTCAAACCCAGGACCTTCTGGTTACAAGGCTAGCGAGCTCGTAGATCATTAATCCGTTGGGACCCACCAATCCAGTGGCCAGTCCATGAATTCCAACTTCACGACATAGCGCGACTGACACTAGCCAGTGTCACCACGACTTCACACTAGAACCTACCTGAATAGGGCCAGTCGCTAGTGAGCATCTCACTGATACTCAAGTATTGGTTTGTAGGGTGCGTACTGCTGGAGGGTCCAAAATTGGGCCGACGAAACAGTTGGCTGCCAAGTACTCCCTGTTAGTTTTCCAATGATTCGCTTACCAATGTCGGCTCATAATGAAATCCTGTAACCAGTCAGTAAAATCCCTACAAATCAATACTTAAAACTAAATGTATTTATTTTATTTTATTTTCTCTCCGATTAATACTTTTTACATCACGTAACTGTTATCTAAATATCCCCCTTTTGGAAACATTCATTTTGTTAACATGAAAACGTTCCATTATATATAAGATTGTGCAGCTTGAGAATAATATAACTGAAGAGTACCTCTTTACTGAATATCACTTCGTCTTAATGAGACATTTTAAAAGTCAACTGTCTTTCACATTCCTTGACTTTATGAATCTGAAATCGGTGTTGAAATTTGCAGCGTTTAGCAAGAGGAATAAGGTCAGATTTTTTTAACACAAATATTAAACCAGTGCTTCTATATGCTCCAGAGACTTAGTGAGTTACCAGAGGCATTCCTAAAAGGCTAGTGCATACTTTCATGAAACACTTGTCCTTACTCTCGACACTGAAGGTTAGATGGATGAGCAGAAAAGATAAGCAGAGAGGAACTCTACCAAACAACATACCAACCGAAAATCAATTGCTTAACAAATATGCAGAAGAAAATGAAGGCAGATTGGACATACGGCCAGGAGAACTCCATGCCAGGTGGTGGAGTGAAAGCCGAATGTCAAGCGCCGATTTGGGCATCCATAAGTGACATGGAGAAGATTATGTGTAAAGAAGACGAAATATCTGTGTGAAACTTGGTCACTGTGGTAGTATGTAATTCCACATTAATTTGTTTATTAGATATATTACAATGAATTACACAGTTTCGAACACAATTTATTACTTTTCATATCAATTATAACACCACACAAATTCGAAAATTTTGTTTTATAGTTTTCTTTATTCTTTCCTATTCGTCATCGAAGGAGTACTGGAATTTTCCATTTGTCTGGGATAGGTGTTGAGTCATTTCTATTACAGGTATTCCCTCTCATTTGATTCGATGAATAAAGCTTCCGTCATCAATGTCTCCCTCCACCTTGTTATATTCGATTTTACAACTGTCATCTTAACCTATCCCATTGTATGTTTGTGTTTAACTGCATGCAGTGAGTGGTGTAAGTGAGCTATTCTCCGGAGTTCTTATCTCATTAGTGTCAACAAATCTAGATTTTGCTAGGTTATTGTGCTCCGCTAGTCTGACTGACTGACCCTGTTCTACTAATTTGACCTGTGTATTTGACCTGGCATTCATTACAGGGTTTTATTGGCTCCACTGGATTGATCCTTAAACCGACAAAGCTTGTTTCCAGTTGAGATTGTTCCTGCATTGTTAAGAATTCTCCATAAGGTTTTCGAGGTTCCTTCTTTGTATGGAAGCACTACTGATGATTTAGATTCCTTACTGTTGGTGTTGTCATTATCTTGCGCATGTTTGACGTGCATGTCATTATTAATATTACTATTATTATTATCACCATCACTACTTTTGTTATTTATTTTATTTTTATATCTTCCTGCATACTTCATAATAAATTTATCAGGGTGATTGTTAAGTTTCAAAGCTTCTCTTATATAACTCACCTCCTGTCTTTGACTTTCTTTGGTACTACTTAATTTTTGTGCCCTATTGTCACTTAAACATGTTATCGCCAATCCTGTTTTTTACTGACATAAGGTGGGATGATCGGAAATCCAAATGTAGGTTTGAATGTGTCGATATCCGATCATCCCACCTTATGTCAGTAAAAAACAGGATTGGCGATAACATGTTTAAGTGACAATAGGGCACAAAAATTAAGTAGTACCAAGTAAAATCGAAGACAGGAAGTGAGGCGGCTCGTGAGTCAACTCGTGCTGAGCTGAGTACATTAGCTGTACCATACACCAGCTTGAAGAACGCGCTCGTGAACACTATCCAGCCCGATTAGTAAAAGGAGAAAGAAAACGTGTATATAGTTCAGTGACAGAACATCTGGTCAATTCAGGACATTCAGAGCCATTCGAAAAACCCTTCAAAATCATACACAAGATTCGATCAAACCCATCAAAGGGTGCGAAATTAAGACATCCGGGGATAGCCTAGGCACTATCCATCCAAAAGCTCAAGCCAACGCCATGCATCCAAAATAAATACGTCCAACCCTTGTCACTGCCATGGTCATCTTAAACAGGGAATTCTTTCAGTAATGACCATCTCGTTGCCTTTCTTATCCAAATTTCCTGTTTATTTATGTTGTTTTTAAATATTTTTCTTAATCCCTATTAACACTACCATATTTTCATATCCGAACTTCCTGTCTATTTCTTCATTTTATTATTTCTACATATTTAACCCCTAATTGCATAAACAATTATTCGTCACATTAGTTATGATCCCACTAGATTTTTTATCCAAACATCCTGACTATTGTTGTTATTTCTACATTTCTAACCCCTAATTGCACAATATGTCAATCTTCTCAGTAATTATGATGCTACTTTGTTTAATTTGTATCCGTCCTACACCCTGTTTATTATGGCATTTTAATTCCTAATTTTAATTTTATTAATTTGACCCTTGACCGGAAATTATTTTGGAACTTTTCCACCCATTTGATATAAATACACGAATGTACAGCCTGAATGCTGACTTCGTCGAAAAGAAAAATTTTTCTTCGCTGCAACTGTCTTTCCATTATTTCCTATGATCAAATGTGTATATTTCATGATATTAAAGAAGCTTAGAAAATCATGTTTGTGGTCGTGGAAATTACCCAAAATAAATCACTCACTCTATTAACTCCTTCTCTGACTGATACCTCTCTTCGCGTAACTATGAGCAGAATCGTAAAGCCACGTTTTGAAGATATCGGGAGCAAAACAGAACCTCACTTAGCTTGTCAACAGTACTTTTAGGACAAAACAGAAGCAAAAAGCTTATTCTATTCTCCTCTCTACTGCCAATATGCACAAACGCATACCTGTGAGAATGAGTACTAAGTCTACAAAATAGCCATTCCTCTTCCGTTATTTGTCATAAAAGTTTCTATATCGAAGGCAGCCGAAAATCCGTTGAAAGGAGATCCTATTAAAACTTAAGTCTGACACCTGATATTCCTCTTCAAACTATTCCTAAAGAAATTTCGCATCCTATATCCCTAAGACCATTTGGCTCAAATATACCACGACTTTACGGACTCCCGAAAGTACACAAAAAGGGCACCCCTATTCGACCGATCCTTGACATGACCAATTCGCCTTATCACCGTACAGCCCAATGGTTAGCAGACCTACTAGAACCAATCAGAAGACAAGTTTTCTGCCACACAGTTCGAGATTCATTCGACTTTATCGACTCAATCGAAAACGTCAACGTATCCAACAAGACCATGATTTCATTAGATATCGCGTCATTGTTCACAAACGTCCCACTGACTGAAACAATATCCTACATATGTGAACTTATTCACTCAAAAGGAATAAACATCGGTATACCTACCGAGCGACTTAAAGAACTCCTACTGAGGTGTACCCTGAATGTTCAATTCTCTTTTAACAAAGAAATATATCGTCAAAAGGAAGGTACAGCTATGGGCTCACCACTAGGCCCACTGCTTGCAGATTTCTTCATGGCAAAACTCGGAAACATATGCCTGAAGAAGATGATCGATACCTTTGAATTCTATAAGAGATACGTGGACGACACTTTCATTATCGTCAACAATGAAGAAAATCTAGGCGACATCTTAAATTTTTTTAACAACTGCCACCCCACGATTCAGTTCACGTTACAGAAGGAGTCTAACTCCAAAATATCCTTTCCTGACGTTCAACTAACAAGAAGAAAACAGGACGGAAAGTCACTGTGGAACGGACAGCTTACTAACTTTCACAGTTGTGTACCTCTATACACCAAACGAAACCTGATCCATTCATTCAGCTACAAAGTTCACAGAATTTGCACCCTGGACACCATAGAAGACAAACTGGACAATCTCAAGAGAATCCTCATCGAGAATTGTTATCCAGAACGGTTTATTGCAAAATCCATGAATCCTAGACTACAAAAGACGCCCACGCTTAACGTCCCGAAAAAACTCCTCTACATGAACCCTCAATTCAATGGAGATTTATCTGCGGAAACACTAAAAAATCGACTGTCCCGTGTACTTAAGAAGACCTTCTTCTCAGCTAAACTACGACTAACCTTCTCCATGAAACCTGTGATTCGTGTGATCATGAAGGATAAGTTACCACTGCTGGCCTCATCAATGTGTATCTACCAATTCACCTGCTTGTGTGGAGCCAGGTATATTGGCCGTACCCAGAGTTCGCTATCCAAACGTATCACCGAACACTTACCCAAAGTCATGGTTTTACAAAGAAGAAAAACGATGCCCCCGCAGTTCTATCTTAGAACATCTGGCAGATCCCGGACATCAAGCTACACCCCAAATAAATTTCAAGGTCAGCTACAGAATACGAAGCAGTCTTCTTAAAAGTTTACAAATCAGACTTCTTCAAACTGCAGAAGCAATGGCAATTCACCTGCTAAGCCCTGAACTCTGCATACAGAAGAAGTTCGTTCAATCACTTCACTTGCAATGGACGTAATCCGCCTTAATACCCGACAGGAAAATTCTATTTCTTTCTGTCACTTCATTAGTATTATTTTGTATTTACAATTGTAATATTTTACATTTTCAACTTCCTGTTCTCTACCCCAGCCCTATTTAATTTCTACACTTCATTGCCACTCTTACTGACTTGACCAATGCTCAATTTCTAGTCATTTGTGTTACGTCATCGAATTTATCTGCTCAATTTTAGCCTCTACCTGTAATTAGCTCTGTTGCTATCCTGACCTAAGTTGAAACAGTTTAGTCATTTATATTACGTCATCTGACTTACTAACTCAATCTTACTTTAGTTGCTGTCTGATTAACCTTTTTTCTATATTAGATCATTCTTGTATTACCTGATTAATTATCTAAACTTGACAAACCTCATGTACACACACACACACACAAATAATTATATATAAATGCGATTGTACAGCTATGTGAATGAGTTAGCCGTCGAAAAGAGTCTCTTCGCTGAACGTCTTCTCTTTTTCATTCTGTATACGATTTTAATCAATAAAACACTTAAATATCGATGAGATGTGCTCACTAGCAACTTGCCCTATTCAGGTAGGTAGTTACCTGGGGTTCTAGTGAGAAGATGTGACCAGTAGGGTGCAGCAGATTGGGTGTGAGGACAAATACTCGCTGAAGACATTGGCTAGGGGTCGTGCTATATCGTGAATTGGCAGAAGTTAGAATTCATGGGCCATTGGATCGGGTTCCAGTGGCTTAATGGTCTACGAGCTCGGTAGTCTTGTAACCAGAAGGTCCTGGGTTCGAACCCTGTCAGTGGGGTGGGTGCGTACTGATGAAGAGTTCCAAACTAGGACAACAGAAACAGCTGTTCAGTGCTGCCAGGTGGGTTTTCCAGTGGTTTCTCTAACCAATGTCAGCTCATGATGAAATCCTGTAACTAATCAAATCCCTACAAACCAGAACTTAAAAAGTTTTTACTAAACCTCCAAATATCCAAAAGAAAGTCATATTTAACTATCAGGTTCAGAGAATGTTAAAGGCCATTAAAAAAAAGCACAATTACGTGATACAATTTCTGAAAATAAACTCATTTGACTTACTCGAAATCCGATCGTTTTATTCAACTGCCTTTTCAACACATCATCGCAGTTCACAGAGGTTTCATTTTCCCCTCCAGTATCATGATTACAAAGTAAAAATCTAATCTTTTTCAATCCTTTCTCTGTCAATGAATTCTTTTTATTCCATAATATTCTTTGAATATTATTACCATTACCATTATCACTATTTACTTCATTCATGTCAAACTTTCTGTACCAGCCAATATTTTGTTGATATGATTCAGGATGCATACGTACATCCATATAACCAGTTTCATCAATACTGTTCAACTTGATGTCACTGTTTTTGCTGCTATTGTTGTCGTTGATGCTGCTGTTGATGCAATCAATAGGATTTGTCAATCCACCCAAAGTGATAACATCATTCAAATGGGTAACAAGCTGTTTCTTTTCTTTTTCATTCTCTAAACGTCTACGTACTTGTTGTTCAAATTCATTGAGACGTCGACGTATCATTCGTTCACGTGGTGGTGTTTTCACTGCTTGACGCACCTTTTGATACAGTTCACTTTCAAGTTTTATGCGTAAATCATCTTTGTGTTTTGTAGGCTTTATTTCTGTGAAAGACGAAAATGAAACAAGATGTCCTCAGGATAAATTTGATTCACACATACATTTATATATGTTGAATGAAATTCAGATAGAATTTAGATTTTACTAGGGCTTGAGACGTGTTTTTGATTGTACACTAGTCAGTAACTAATGTAATGTGTGTATGTGTGTCCTATCTTTGGTGCAGACTGAATTCTATCAGTCAAGTTTGAAGTGTGGCTACTATGCCACTAGGTGGCTCGCCATCAAGGTGCACTTTGAGTTTTTGGCATTAGATGGTCGGAGGAAATTGGCAAGAGGCCTTGCCTGACTTAGGTTTCATGCTAGTTGGCACTTGAGTTTCGAACCCGCATCCAGTCAAGAATATAGTCCTACGGAAGGTCGATCGCCAGCCTGAATAGCTCAGTGGTAACGTCTCTGGCTGACTGCAGCACTAGATGACGTGGGTTCCAATCTCAGAAGGGACATGAGTTCCGGCAACAGTAAGCAATAGACACCAACTTCAGACGACCTTGAAACAGCCAATCAGATTTTTCTAGGTGAAAAGTGGTACTTAATTTACAGGGAAGTGTGTCCACGATATATATGTAATAAAAATGAATCATATAAAGTATGTATCTCTAATATGGTTCCAGATTCTCATAGAAGTGGTTATAGACATACCAAACCAATGTATCCTCTGTTTCTTCAGCTGTAATAGATACTGGTTGCATATACACAATATATTACTGAGGGATAGCTTTGATCTCGAGAAGAAAGTGTCTAAAATATCACCAACTATATCTATAAACTTATACAGACATCTTGAAATATAGTGGTTGCATCTGAATGTATAAGCAACAGTAGCACGGCAATGCTTTTACAGAGTCATTATCCCTCCACATATGCATGTTATATTCCTCCCTATCAACACATTTTCCACAGAGAAGTCGAAAACCAAATCTAAGAGACACATTCAGTGAGGATTATGACTAGCAACCATTTGTAATTCTGAGCTATCTGATTGGCTGTTTCAAGGTCATTTGACTTTGATGTGTCTATTGTTTACTCTTGCCTGAGTTCCTTCAGGGTTTCGGATTCTCTTTCCTGACTGGTGAGTGCCAACTGGCACGAAACTCAGGTCAGGCAAAGCTTCCTGTGGCCGACTGCATGACACCCTCTAATACTTGAAATATGTTTCAGTTGTTCCATGGCAGATTAGTCTGTATCCTATTCCCAGCCGACTCACTCCGTTTAACATCACTTGGCTGGGTAGTGAGTCCCGTAAAGAGGGAAAGTTGGGAGTGAGGCTAACAACGCCGCCCCGTAAAAAATACCATCTTAGCTGGAACTTCAAAGCTGAGGCTTGAATCCCTATATTCCACGAGGAAAGCAACGAAATGAAAAAATGGGATTTAAAGTAGGATTATTTAGGGTTTCAAGTTAGAAATTGTTGTAAATCACCATCAGAAACAGAAAAAGCTACTTAAAAGACACTAGTCAGTAACTAGTGTAATGTGTTTATGTCAAGTCCTATCTTTGGTGCAGACTGAATTCTATCAGTCAGATTTACAATGTGGTTAACATTCTAGTTGGCTTGCAGTCACAGTGCACTGTGAATTGTTGGTATAAGATGGTTGGAGGCAATCGGCAGGAAGCCTTGCCTGACCTAGGTTTCGTGCAACCTTGAAGGAACTCATGTCCCTTTTGATATTCAAACCCGCATCACTCAGTACTGCAGTGAGTCAGAGGCGTTACTACTGAGCTGCCGATTGCCTCCAACCATCTAATACCAACGAGGACAAGATAACTTTCAATTTTCAGCTTCACCACGTCTAACGTTTTTTTCTACACAACCTAAATCTCAAAATAAACCTAAAATGGTCAAATTTTAGCGAAGATTGAATCATTCGGCACAACAACTGTCCTCCGTGATCGAATATCAATCAGCTGTTTTTTCCTCTGTTGTGAAATAAGTCACAATTGAATTAACTTATGAAGTACACGGAATTCTTTTGAGATGAGCAATTGTGAACGACGAAGACCTCTGTTATTCACCCAGAGTACTCCAACACACAATAGTATGGGAATGAGATTAGCTCTTGAATGTCATTCCCATAATGAGAAAGTATCAAAAGCAGGTCGAGAAGGCAAGACCAAAAATTACATAATTGTGTCAATAAAAATCCAATGGCATGAACTTTGATCTAATTTAAGACTGAATGTCTGGTCCTTAGCTTACACAGAAAATCCTGACAAACAATATAGGTGTTGTTTGTGATTTAGTGGCCCAATGTTAAAATGTTCACCAGCCACACGGGAGATCCGCATTCTGATTCCCAGCCGATTTACTCTTAGACGTCAGTTAGTTGGTGGTAAGCCCAGAAATGAGTAAAGATTAAGCTCTAGGTTGACAACCCCATCCCCTAAAATAAGAAACAATACCGCTATCACTACTTTAAAGTCTAAAGCCTGAAGATCTATTTTCCACTCGGAATGCAAAACACAGGGAAAAAACTGTCCTAATGAGCTGGAACTCTAATAATTCACTGATTCGAAAGTCGATTTCCCAGATGAACTTTTCAAATCAGAGGATAAACTGTTTCAAGTAATGACAGTGTGCTTTTTTGTGATTTTAATTACTAAAGTTAAGCACTGTAGTCCAGGTGTTCTAGAAAAAGAATTAGATCTTTTGAGAGAAATCTTTGTCCAAAATGGATACCCACCAAGATTCATTGACAAAAATATCAAACCAAGAATTTGGAGGAATGTAACTTCACTTGCTCCGAAAACGAAACTCTACATGAACTTGGATTTCAAGGGAGATTTAGCAAGCGGTATTCTCAAGAAAAGGATCATATCATTTCTGAGAAGAACTTTCTTTACAGCAATGCTAAGAATATTGTTCTCCAGTCGCCCACCGATCTCTAGAAGCCTTAAGAACAAGATTGCGCATATCCATTCTTTTTGAAGACCGTGAGTGGGTATTTTTCTTCCATTCTTTTCAACTCTGGAGTGCTACAATGTGTTTGAATTCTTTTAAACAATGTCTGCACACAGTTTCGTTTGCGAGTAATTGGATTATTGCTAGTATAGTTGAGTATTCGATCTGTGTGTGCTTTGATTTCCTATATACTTGTGTTTCTAAATTTCCTGTGTTGGTTCTCCTGATTAAGAAATCTAAAAATAGGATTTTGTTATCTAATTCTCCTTCTCTTGTTAATTTGATATCTTTAAATATGTTGTTTACTAATTTAAGGGTATATTCCAAATCATTTCTTTCAATTATTACAAATGTATCATCAACGTAACATACCCAGACCTTTGGTTTAATTGTAGGTACAGCTATTAATTCTAATCTTCGCATGACGGCTTCAGCTATTTATCCTGATATGGGCGATGATCCCATTGGTGTTCCTTTCGATCTGTTCGTATATTTGAGTATTGAATTGAAAGTATGTTGTAAGACATAATTCTATGAGGTCTATCCAAGTTGAACACTGCGTTTTTATGTTGTCATCACTATAGAGTAATTGTGACACATTCACTGTACTGAGAACACAAGGTATATATAGGTTTTTCGAACACATCAACTCGAAGGTTGAAGCAATTCAATTCACTTATGAATAGCAAAATCAGGAAGAGGAGCTCCCAATGTTAGATTGCAACGTAAAAAGGAAAAAAGATGGGAAGTTAAACACTAGTGTTTACAGGAAATCCACACATTCAAACAGATATTTAGACTTCCGATCATCCCATCCTATGTCAGTAAAAATAAGATTGGTGAAATGTTTAAGTGATAGAGCACAAAAACTAAGTGGTACTAAAGAAAATCCAAAACAGGAACTGATAAACATAAAAGAAGCCTTGAAACGTAATAATTACCCGGATAAACTAATCAGGAAATATGTAAGGAAATGTAAAAATAAAATAAATAATGATAGTAGCGATAGTGATAATAACAATAATAATAATATTAATGACGACACCAACAACAAGGAATCTAAATCATCAGTAGTGATTCCATACAAGGAAGGAACCTCGGAAGCCTTACGCAGAATTCTTAACAAGGCAGGCAGGAATAAAAGTGGCTGGCATTCAAACCCACAAACTCAATTAGAAACAAGCTTTGTCGGTTAAAGGATCCTGTGGAGCCAATAAAACAAAAAAATTTAGTTTATCTAATACCCTGCAATGATTGTCAGGTCAAATACATAGGTCAAACAAGTAGAACAGGGGCAGTCAGACTAGCTGAACATAAAAACCTAGCTAAATCTAGATTGGTTGACCCGAATAAGATAAGAAATCTAGAGAATAGTTCAGCAATACCACTCACTACTTGCAGTTGCACACAACCATACAATAGGATGGGATAGGATGACAGTTTTAAAATCTAATGTCACAGGGTATAGGGAGAGATCGATAACAGAAGCTTTGTTTATCGAATCAACTGACATGGAATACATGTAATAGGAATGATTCATCACCTGTCCGCTCGAACAACTGGAAGATTCTACTACTCCTACGACAAATAGGAGAAGACAAAGAAAACTATAAAACTCAAGTTTCAAAGTCGTGTGATTATAATTGATATGATTATGAACAATAGATAAATTTTGTTCGAAACTTTGTCATCCAGTAAATAATAATACTGTTTCACTGACTGTGTGATATATCTAATAAACAAACTAATATGGAATTACTTACTACCACAGTGCTCAATTTTTTACACATATATGGAATGACGTAACGCCTATTCCGGAGATATGGGAAATTGTAACAAATAACGACAAGGAGGAGAGAGAGAGAGTAATATGTCTGAATCAAATTACGAAGTCGTTTAGCAATAAATTGTACTCAAAACATCATCCAGATATCTCAGACAGTCTCTCCCATTAGTTCATATTGTACATTAATACACGGAACTCTATTTTTTCTTCCCTCAGACCATTTGAAATTCCTTTGAAAAGAAAACACACACCTATCAACCTACCTGTCTCTGTAGTCTGCTGCAACCTGGTCGGCGTTTTCTCAACTTTTCCAAGATATTTATGTGGAAATCCAATTAGAAGGTGTAAATGATGTGATGATCTATGCTGAGGATATTCCCCCCCGAAGGCTGTAGAAGAAGTTGATGATGAGGTTGCCGATGATGATGATGATGAAAATGACTTGGTAGGTGAAGACATGCAGGTGGATGGCATGTCTGACTGATTAATCCATGATAACTCAGAAATCATTGTTGGTATTCGATTGTTTGACATGCAGTCTGTATTTCCTTTATTGCTGTTCATTAGCAATGCTGCTAATTCGTATAAGACATCTTAAGATATTTGTGTTTTCTGAATTGTGAACAATGCTTTTCGTTGAATTTTTTGTTTTTATTTGATAACGGTGGGTTTTAAGTTAGGTTTTGTTAAGTAACTAAGTACTTTCAGTGGATATATATATATATAATTAAATGAGGTCTTGAGCACCTTAGGCGTTTTTACTATTAGTGAAACGAATCATTTAAGTGCTTCGTTTTGATTGGTTAATTCTACATCGGCTACTAAATTAATATACTGATAGGTATTTTATAGAATGAAATCTAGAAGGCATTATATATATATATATCTTCTTTATTTTTAATTAAAGCTTGATTCCACACCATATTTTTGGTACAAGTATGGAATTTTCAGCATGTGATACGGGTAGCCCAAATTTTGCAGGCGAACCATTGATTCCAGGTGTGCGTCGGCGGCAGGGATCGAACCCCGGACTATGTGCATGGTCGGCGAGCGTCCTAACCGCTGTGCCACAGACGCATATATATATATATATATATATATATATATATATATAAAGCAATAAGAAGACGTATTTTGTCTGAATCGTGTAATGTATTTGCTCAACACATTTCCAACAATCTGATCACACACGTACTAGTCATACGAATATATATATGAAATTAATAAAGAGCTAAGAGGTGAGAAAATAGACTACTTAGGTCAAGTTAAAAGGACATATTCAAGGTCAAAATAACAATGAAGACCACTAAACCAAATAGCAGAGGTATTAGTACATCTACCCTGACTGGTATCAAAACAAAGTTTACCAAGGAAGGTTTAATGTGATGACGAATTGTTTTTCATGGACGCATAAAGGTGGTTTAAACTTTCTAAATGCCAGCTAGTGCTTCCACAAACTTTCAGATACGCCCTCCCCCAAACACAATTTATGGGTAGGTTTAAAAGATCTGTAAACGTCAATTTTATGTCCTGTCTTTATAATATGTTTCGTAGTAAAGGAGCTAGGTCGTCGTCTGTTCTCACTATTAATGGGTTCTGAAGATTCTATTTGCTTCTGGAGCCATTCAGGAATATGCTCTGAAGCCAGCCCTTACTTGCGAAGATCGATGAGTCTTCCCTTCTATGTATGTGTGTCTACACGTACATTCAAATTGGTAAATACAGTGAGATGTGACGTCATTCTTCGCATGTTCGAAGGGCTTAGATAGAGATATTGGCTTCACATTCTCAATTATTATGATATTAGCTGCATAAAAAGTTTTTTAAGCACAGCAGCGTTCAGTCTTTGTCTAGTTATCAAGCTGCTATGATGCCCCATAAAGGGTAGCTTGATGTACACGTCTTTCTTAGGGGCGAGTTGGAGAGTGGGTCATGGTGTTCTGACTGCTTTATATCTCCCGATGAACTTGTCTGGATAATTGTTATCAACCAGAGTTTGTGTCAACTTTCTTTCTTCTTCATCGAGTGTGTCTTCAGTGCATATTTGTTGGATTCTACTGAAGAGGCACTTAAGGCTCTTTTGTACCGAACAGGGCAGAAACTGTAGTAATTAAGATACTATCCTGTCCAGGTAGTTTTTCTATAAATACATCTTTTTATTGACCCATCAAGCCGTCGACTAAGCAATATGTCTGGGAAAGATAAACAATTATCTTCCTTGTCTACAGACGTAAGCGATATGCTATTCTGAACTTCATTCATTCGATTTAAAATTGAGGTGGCAGAACAAGACTTATCACTTATGATTACAATATCATCTACATACCTTCTATAAAGTGGCACATTTTCGATTAAATCCTTTGATAAACTGTCAGTATACCACATATAGATATCTGCTAAAAGGGGCCCTAACGGACTTCCCGTAGCAACACTATCAACCTGGCGGAAACAATCGCCTTCAAATGTAAAGCTAACATTGTTAGTACATAGAAGTAATAAATCCCTCAAATAAGTTATAGGGAACGGGATGAAAAAATTGTTTGTGGAAATGTAATCACACAAAATGTCAACTGTTTTGAGCAAAGGCACATTAGTGAATAACGAGTTTACATCAAAAGAGAACATATTCTTATTCAAAATATTAATATCGTTAAGAAAATCAACCAATTCAAATGTATCTTTTAACACATACTTACAGAATTGTGTTTTGACTGGATGCAATAATTCTACTAACCATTAAGCAAGTTTATGCGTTGGGGATTTGCACATTGACAATATAGGACGTAGAGCATTATTGTGTTTATGTATTTTTCGCAAACCATTCATATGCGAGAATTTACAATCTGATGGTTTTAAAGCGTCAAATTTATCTTTACTTATAGCATTTAGGCCATGAAGCTTCAGTAGATTAGCTGTCACTGTGCCCCTGCAACAACTGAACATCTTTTGACGAGGCATCACGGCCAAATTTGCTTTTATCATCAAGAATGGACATCATTTTAGATTTGTAGTCACTTTTATTCATAATGACGACTCCACACATATATACATATATATGGATAGTGTTATTAAAAGACGGAGATTAGCCGAAAAATGTGATGTATTTACGCTATACATTTCGAACAATCTGATCCCTCACACACTTATTTGTCAAGTCAATATATATGAAAAAATTAAGGCCAATTAAATTAAACAAAGTGACAAAAAAAGGATTTAAGAATGATTAAGACAACGTTTGGTAATCCAATCAAATAAGGATTACCAAGGTAGGTGGGTTAAGAGTAATAATAAACTGTTTTTGAATACACGGGCGGGGGGTGGCTTAAGTTTATGAATAGCTATAGCCTCAGCGTATTTCAATAAGCGCCCTTGACCGTTTTTATACATGATGACCTTAAAGGCTGAGTTAACATCAATCTTATGGTTCATCTCGATTAGATGTTTGGCTATAGACGAAGTTGGGTAGTCTCTTCCCTGGGTCTATTGATTTTCTACAATTCGTTTGTCTTTTTAACCATTGCGGGATATGGTCTTCCACCGTCACATGCAAAGCATGATTACTCCTCCCTGTGTATATGTGTCTACACACACACACACACACACACGAAAATTGGTAAATTGTGTGGGATGTGATATAATCACTCGTGCACTTTTGAGGTTTACAGTGGAGCATATTTTTGGCCTTTTCGATAATTACAAACCGGGCTGCATAATAGATCCTACAGATGACCGAATTTAACCTTTGTCTTAAAATCCTACTGTTTATTTCACCGTTATATGGTAATTTGATGAAAACATTTTTCTTAGGGGCGGTATAGATTGTAGGTTTAAAGACTAATTGACTTCTACACCTGTGTAAAATTTTCTTTAAAGGATATCAGTTTTCAACAAGAGTATCCATTAATATTTCATTTTCTTTGTCTATAACATCAACCGTGCAAATACGTTGAATCCGCTTAAATAGACTTTTCACCAAGCCTCTCTTATACTGTAATGGACAGACGCTGTGAAAATTAATGTATTGCCCTGTCCAAGTGGGCTTTCTGTAAATTGATCGTCTTATTGAACCATCATCTCTTCGACTCAGAAGTATGCCTACAAATGCAACCTGGTTGCGACTTTCTTCCTTGCATGATTCTGTACAGAGCTAAGTCTATCTGATAGACGACTCTCATCTTGATGATCGTCACATATCAAAATGATATCATCTACATACCTATGTGATATGTCCGTCAGATCCGAAGGTTGATCTAAAACCCTCTAATCACTTGAATATTCTGCCCTACTCAGATATCCTGAGTTATTCATACTCCTCTTTAGTCTACAGAAAATTTGGATGTTCTGTCAGACAATTTAGAAATTCGTCATTCAGTGTCAAAATCAAACAGGTTATATACTACTGATCGGTTGAAATAAGTAGTTGACATCAATCAGTAGTGTTTACTAACCAGATCAAGGTGATCTAACCATCGGATAGCCGTTTCACTGGTTTTGGGGCAAAGCGCTTATCATGCAGCCGGGTTGAATTACAGATTGAGAATTTGATTCAACGCATTTTACCAGCTCGCTCATTGAAAGCTAGCCAGATATCGGGCAGTTTGAACTGATTCAGTCTTCTGAACTTAGTCATACGGGGTACGCTGCTGATGAGCTTGGCTCATCAAACGAAGGAAACGGCCACCTGGTGTTTAGATCACTTCGACTTAGCTAGCAAGAACTACTGGTCCATGTGAACAGTTCACAGCTACTGACTCGTCTCAATCAATCAGAAGTACATTTTTTTGGTGTGGTTGTGTTCTCTGAGCTGGATGGTTTGGTTGCGAAGCTTTCATTGCTCTACTGAGCAACATCTTCAGCGCATACTTCGATGTGAAGTGAGCTTTTAGAATTCTCTATGAGTTTATTAGTCATCTCTTCTAGTAACCCTGAACGTGATTGGTTGTTTTTGTGTGACTTCTCACTCTCTAGTTCACTTGTTTTGGTGTTGACTGTTTCCTTGACCTGAAGTTTGACTTTGTTTTTGTGTGAATTTCTTCGTATGGATTGGTATATTTTGTCAATCTCCATGTGTCTATTGATTGCTGATTCGTTTGAATACCAGGCCTCTAGGAATTCTCTGGCATTTTTGCAGTTCCCTTTGTCTAAGATTTGAACATTGTCCCAGTCGAATTGGTGCCCGTGGTTGTCTGCGTGTAGTCATATGAGGGAGTGTATGTCGTGTCTTTTGACAGCTAGTTTGTGTTCGTGAATGCGAAGACGAAGAATGCGTCCGCTTTGACCAATGTAATGTTTGTCGCAGTCGTTGCAACTTATCTTGTAGATGACGTTAGTTTTGTCTTCTTTTGCCGTTGAGTCCTTTGGTTTACATAGAACTGAGTGTAGTGACTTTGTTGGTTTATGAGTGACATCGATTCCAAAAGGTTTGAATAGTCTTGCAGTGATTTCGGAGATATCTTTTATATATGGTAGGACGACTTTCTTTGTGTTTTCGCTGGTGGCCTTTGATTTGGTTGGTTGAGCTGGGGGTAGATGTCTTTTGATGAAGTTTCGTGGGTATCCATTTC